CTGGAGTGCAATGGCACGATCTCGGCTCACCGCAACCTCCGCCTCCTGGGTTCAGGCAATTCTCCTGCCTCAGCCTCCCAAGTAGCTGGGACTACAGGCACGCACCATCATGCCCAGCTAATTTTTGCATTTTTAGTAGAGACGAGGTTTCACCTTGTTGACCAGGATGGTCTCGATCTCTTGACCTCGTGATCCACCCGCCTCGGCCTCCCAAAGTGCTGGGATTATAGGTGTGAGCCACCGCGCCCGGCCTCCTGTGTCATTTTTATTTTGGCAGACCCTAATAGAGACTTGCCTCCTAATGTCAATGCGTCAAAAGAATGAAGGAAAGACAGAAATGGAGAAAATGATTTTTATTTTTAGATTCTTTACTCTTGCTGTCATCTTATGCTTATGTTTATTTATTTGCCCTAGTGTAGGGCCCTAGATGAGGTGAAGGGTGGGATTACGGAGAAATGAAGTTGGCAATGGAAGAAGGGCTCCAAAAAGAGAGAGAGTAGTGTTTAAAGAGGAAGCAGTAATTTTTTAATTTTGAAAGATCTCTGTGATTAGCCTCAGTGTTAGAAATTATTTGGAAACTTAGCCAGGCCAGGTGGCTCATGCCTGTAATCCCAGCACTTTGGGAGACCAAGGTGGGCAGATGGCTTAACCTCAGGAGTTCGAGACCAGCCTGGGCAACATGGCAAAACCCTGTCGCTACTAAAAATGCAAAAAATTAGCCAGGCATGGTGACACAAGCCTGTAGTCCCAACTACCTGGGGGAACTGAAGTGGGATGACCACCTGAACCTGGGAGGTTGAGGCTGCAATAAGCCAAGATCGCACCATTGCATTCCAACCTGGGTGACAGAGGGAGACCCTGTTTTAAAAAAACAAACAGAAATTGGGAAATTAAAAATATCAGGCTAAACACTAGCATGTCATCAGAGGGGGAAAACTATTAAAACTGTAGTACCTCACAATTAAGCCATGTATGTACTGTTTTCTATATAACCTTAAGAAGTAAAATGAGGCCGGGCGCGGTGGCTCAAACCTGTAATCCCAGCACTTTGGGAGGCCGAGGCGGGTGGATCACGAGGTCAACAGATCGAGACCATCCTGGTCAACATGGTGAAACCCCGTCTCTACTAAAAATACAAAAAATTAGCTGGGCTTGGTGGCACGTGCCTGTAATCCCAGCTACTCAGGAGGCTGAGGCAGGAGAATTGCCTGAACCCAGGAGACGGAGGTTGCGGTGAGCCGAAATCGCGCCATTGCACTCCAGCCTGGGTAACAAGAGCGAGACTCCATCTCAAAAAAAAAAAAAAAAAAAAAAGAAGTAAAATGAGACTCCACATTGAGGCTCTGTTTTTCATCTTCAAAAAATGTGTTTAAGTGATATAGGCCAGGTGCATCGCTTTGGGAGGCCAAGTGGGGCGGATTGCTTTGGAACCCAGGATTATGAGACAAGCCTGGGCAACATGGCGAAACCCTGCCTCTACAAAAAATAAATAAAAATGAAATAAGCCAGGCATGGTGGCTTGTAGTCCCAGCTACTTCGGGAGGCTTTAGCCTAGGAGATCAAGGCTGCAGTGAGCTGTGATTGTGCCACTGTACCCCAGCATGGGTGACAGAGTGAGACCCTGTCTCAAAAATAATGGGCCAGGTGCAGTGGCTCACACCTGTAATCCCAGCCCTTTGGGAGGCCAAGGTAGGTGGATGACTTGAGGTCAGGAGTTTCAGACCAGCCTGGCTAACATGGTAAAACCCCTATCTCTATTAAAAATACAAAAAATTGGCCAGGAGAAATGGCTCACACCTGTAATCCCTATACTTTGGGAGGCCGAGGCGGGTGGATCACCTGAGGTCAGGAGTTCAAGACCAGTCTGGCCAACATGGCAAAACCCCCATCTCTACTAAAAATACAAAAAAATTAGCCGGGCATGCCGGGTGCAGTGGCTCACGCCTGTAATCCTAGCACTTTGGGAAGCTGAGGTGGATGGATCACCTGAGGTCAGAAGTTCAAGACCAGCGTGGTGAAACCCCATCTTTGAAAAAAAAAAAAAAAATTAGCCGGACATGGTGGTGTGTGCCTGTAATCCCAACTATTCGGGAGGATGAACCCAGGAGGTGGAGCTTGCAGTGAGCCACTGTCATGCCACTGCACTCCAGCCTGGGCGACAGGGTAAGACTCTGTCTCAAATAAATAAAGAAGATTCTATCATAAATAAATAAGACTGTCTCAAATAAGACTGCGTCATAAATAAGATTCTGTCTCAGATAAGCAAACTAGCTTCCTTTTCAAAAAAAAGGAATAAATTAGGTCATAATTCTAAAAGCCTATCCTACTTTAAAATTGTTTATTCAAGTTCAGATGAAAAGAGTGGACTAGTAAGTGACTGAAGTGCTTTAGAATCTCCCGTGCCTGCCTTAACTTTAGAAAGTTGAGCACTTTATGATACCGTTTTCAGAGTGGTTGAGAATTGAGTGTTGAGCAATGCAAGGGAAGCTGTGCAGTAGGTAATGGATTGATGGGGCTGGATTTAGCAAGTCTGATCAATTTAAAGGCAGTTTTTGAATGTGTTTTTTGTAGTTAAAATACTCATTGTTGCATTTTATTTTTAAATTGCAGGTAAACAAGTGAGAACCAAACTTTCACAGGCATTTAATCATTGGCTGAAAGTTCCAGAGGACAAGCTACAGGTATTAGGCAACTCTAATCTCATTACCCCCATGAAATTAATAGCTGTCACATAAAAATACTCCTAGTTCTTGATTGAATTTAGTGATCATGCAAGGTATTATTTTGTATTGAGTTTGCTAAATATTTATTAGTTGTGAAAATTAACACACCTGAGACTTTAATAATCTATTAATTAAACCGATAATGTAAGCTTTGAATAGTTCAAATAAGTGAAATTTTCAATTCTTTTTAGATTATTATTGAAGTGACAGAAATGTTGCATAATGCCAGTTTACTCATCGATGATATTGAAGACAACTCAAAACTCCGACGTGGCTTTCCAGTGGCCCACAGCATCTATGGAATCCCATCTGTCATCAATTCTGCCAATTATGTATATTTCCTCGGCTTGGAAAAAGTCTTAACCCTTGATCACCCAGATGCAGTGAAGCTTTTTACCCGCCAACTTTTGGAACTCCATCAGGGACAAGGCCTAGATATTTACTGGAGGGATAATTACACTTGTCCCACTGAAGAAGAATATAAAGCTATGGTGCTGCAGAAAACAGGTGGACTGTTTGGATTGGCCGTAGGTCTCATGCAGTTGTTCTCTGATTACAAAGAAGATTTAAAACCACTACTTAATACACTTGGGCTCTTTTTCCAAATTAGGGATGATTATGCTAATCTACACTCCAAAGAATATAGTGAAAACAAAAGTTTTTGTGAAGATCTAACAGAGGGAAAGTTTTCATTTCCTACTATTCATGCTATTTGGTCGAGGCCTGAAAGCACCCAGGTGCAGAATATCTTGCGCCAGAGAACAGAAAACATAGATATTAAAAAGTACTGTGTACATTATCTTGAGGATGTAGGCTCTTTTGAGTACACTCGTAATACTCTTAAAGAGCTTGAATCTAAAGCCTATAAACAGATTGATGCACGTGGTGGGAACCCTGAGCTAGTAGCCCTAATAAAGCACTTAAGTAAGATGTTCAGAGAAGAAAATGAATAATGTTAAGCCATTCTGGATTGGGCCTCATAGCTTATTTTAGTTAATCATTTTTTTGTCTTGTAGTCTATCACCTTTTAAAAATTTTGGTCCAAGCTGTTATTCCCCAAAAACTGAGTCAATAGGTGAGTAGGGGTGATGCAAGTGATTCTGTTTTAATTTAGAAAAACCTCTATACAGATAATCAAAAGTCAGAAGAATCAAGCCGCAGTTATGTAGGTCTCATTTGAACATCATAATTACAGTGGGAGGACACTGTCACCAACTCTGCCCTACTACCATCAATGTTGTGTTTATTCTGTCAATAAAAAAGACTCATTTCCAGGAATTTTTATCTATACACTTTCTAACTGTACTATCTGGGCAGTTCCAAGCCAGTTTCTTTTAGCTAACTTGTCCAAAGACCTCAAATTTCTTTTTTTGCTAAACACTGCTGCTGAGAATATCTCACTGTCCTCCCTGGAAACCCCCTTACTGAAGTTTTCTGTGAAAAGGCTGATGATAAACAGCATTCCCGTCCTTTTTCTTACATTTTCCTTTTTTCCTTCCTCTCCACCCCACACGTTTTGGTTTTTAACCAAGGTGTCTTTGCTTGATGAAATTCACATGCTAGTTTTATTTCTTTTTTTCTCCCTTGTAATACAACATTTGTGTGCCCCAACTGGTTAATATCTGGGTACAGCATTGCCTGTCCAATTGGGAAGTAGAAAAGGAGTGTATGGGGTATTTTAGAAGGGAGCCTTTGAACCTTAATATATTTCCCCGTCATTGATAGTGAAAATCTTAAAAGGTTGTTTTCTTACCTCAAGTACAAAAGCATGGGAAAATGCTCTTTTCCTTCCCACCCACATCACTACCCCCCTTGAAGATAATAGGTGCTAGAATGGAAAAGGAGTAGGCATCTTTAATCTCCCTGATTAAATGAAAGAAAGTGTTAGCCTGAGAGTGCCTGACTGAAAAGTAACCAAAAGCATACTATCAAGCACTACTTAGCTTTTTAGTGCCTTAACCCTGACCCTGTTACCCATGTTGTATAATTTCTAGACCCCAGCCACTGAAGTTATCTGTGGCCCAAGAGGCAGGACACACACAAAAAAGATACTGATTTCAATATATAAATAGTTGATATCCCAAAATAAAAGTTTGTTTCCCTTAGAAATATATTTTGCTACAGAAGGAGCAGCATTGAGAAAGAAAAACATTAACAAAAAAAAAAAAAAGAAACATTTTGCTTGATTGGTTCTATAATATGTTATTTAGGATCTATTTACCATATACTTAGATGAGAAATCCCCACCCAAGCATTCAACATAAATCTTTGAAGTTGGGTGCTGTTTTTATTAACTTTTAAAATAGTTTAAATCTCCCATTTTAATAGGTAGAAGCCCCTTAAAATCATGGATATTGATGTTGTATGGAAATTTGAACTTTATGAACCCCTACTTCTAAAAAACTTTAAAATCTGTTGATACAAAATATCTACATTTTAAGTATAAAAATTGCTTAAGTAGATTTGTTCCTTGCCTGTCAAATTAATTTTGACATGATACTCTTCATTATTCATTTGTCATTTTTATCTTGTCTTTGTCAGTGACAGAAATGCTTGGCATTGAATTGGGGACATTTTTTTTTTTTTTTTGAGACGGAGTTTCACTCTTGTTGCCCAGGCTGGAGTGCAATGGCATGATCTCATCACTCCAACATCCATCCGCCCCTCAGGTTCAAGCCATTTTTCTGCCTCAGTCTCCTGAGTAGCTGGGATTACAGATGCCTGCCACAACACCCGGCAAATTTTTTTTGTATTGTTAGTAGAGACAGGGTTTCACGTTGGCCAGGCTGTTGTCAAACTCCTGACCTCAGATGATCCACCCACCTCGGCCTCCCAAAATGCTAGGATTACAGACATGAGCCACCACGCCCAGCCTCTTAATAGATTTTCTAATGTTTTTACGAAAACACATTTATGTTTGATAACAAAAATGAAAGTATAATAATTTTTTACGTTTGTTCAATTTATTGAACCCTGAAACTTAGCCAATTAAGGTTCGAAAAGCTCTGTGAATAGAAAGTGAACTGGCCCGGCATGGTGGCTCACACCTGTAATCCCAGCACTTTGAGTGGACGAGGCAGGCGGATCACAAGGTCAGGAGTTCAAGACCAGCCTGGCCAATATGGTGAAAACCTGTATCTACTAAAAATACAAAAATTAACCGGGCGTGGCGACGAGCACCTGTAGTCCCAGCTACTCGGGAAGCTTAGGCAGAAGAATCGCTTGAACCCAGGAGGCTGAGTTTGCAGTGAGCTGAGATTTGGCCACTGCACTCCAGCCTGAGCTACCGAGTGAGACTCTGTCTAAAAAAAATAAAAGTAAAAAATAAATAAGTAAAAAAAAAAGTAAAATTGTAGCATTTTGGCGAGGCACAGTGGCTCATGCCTGTGATCCCAAGACTTTGGGAGGTAGATCACTTGAGGTCAGGACTTCAAGACCAACCTGGCCAACATAGTGAAACCTCATCTCTACAAAAACAAAAATTAGCGGGGCATAGTGGTACATACCTGTAATCCCAGCTACTCTGGAGGCTGAGACATAAGAATCACTTGAACCCAAAAGGCTGAGGTTGCAGTGAGCCGAGATGCCACTGTACTCCTCCAGCCTGGGCAAGAGAGAGAGACTCCATCTTAAAAATAAGTAAGGCCGGGCACGATGGCTCACACCTGTAATCCCAGCACTTTGGGAGGCCAAGGCAGGCAGATCACAAGGTCAGGAGATCGAGACCATCCTAGCTAACAGTGAAACCCCGTCTTTACTAAAAATACAAAAATTGTAGTCCAGCCAGGCGCGGTGGCTCAAGCCTGTAATCCCAGCACTTTGGGAGGCTGAGGCGGGTGGATCACGAGGTCAAGAGATCGAGACCATTCTGGTCAACATGGTGAAACCCCGTCTCTACTAAAAACACAAAACATTATCTGGGCATGGTGGCGCATGCCTGTAATCCCAGCTACTCAGGAGGTTGAGGCAGGAGAATTGCCTGAACCCGGGAGGCGGAGGTTGCGGTGAGCCGAGATCGCGCCATTGCACTCCAGCCTGGGTAACGAGCGAAACTCCGTCTCAAAAAAAAAAAAAAAAAAAAGAAAAAAAAAATTGTAGTCCCAGGTGCTTGGGAGGCTGAGGGAGGAGAATTGCTTGAACCCAGGAGGTGGAGGTTGCAGTGAGCCAAGGTCATGCCACTGAACTCCAGCCTAGGTGACAGAGCAAGACTCCGTCTCAAAAAAAAAAAAAAATCGTAGCATTCTATAAATGTAATAGCACTAAAGATGAAGTATGTAAAATTTAAGACAGTTATACCAATTAGGAAAAAATCTGAATATAAACCCTGATAGTTCAGAGGAAGCGAAGAGAGGATTCAGCACCATGAGAATATCATTAATATAGGAGGAAATTCTCAATTTATTGAGACTGCAAGTCACCTATGAGTATCAATGAGGAAGCTGGAAGAATTTGATGCAGTTTCCTGTGTTATATCATGGCTCTAATAGGAATATATTATTTAGCTAGTGACTGCTGCAACCAATCAAAGATGACACCAATAATTCCCAGCTGGATTGGAATGTCATAGCATATATGGACAATTCATGTTGCCTGACTTATTGGATCTGCCCTTTCAGCCCATCTTGCACATAACCACCAGATTAATATTATTGCTTTTATGTTGTATACTTCTGTTCAAAAATCCTTTATAGGACACTTTAGCTTCAGAGTCAAAGCTCTCTCTAGTCTGCTTCCCATCTTATCTCCCACCATTCCTTAATAGCCTTTACTTCACCTAAACCTATCTATCCATTCTTTAAGATATCCAGCCAGCCACAGTAATCCCAGTACTTTGGGAGGCCGAGGCAGAAAGATCACTGGAGGCCAGGAGTTCAACACCAGCCTAGGCAACATGGTGAAACTTTGTCTCTACAAAAAAATAGAAATAAAAAAATCAGCAGGTTGCTCCTGCCTGTGCCTATCAGGTGGATCACTTGAGATCAGGAGTTTGAGACCAGCCTGGCCAACATGGCAAAACCCCATTTTTACTAAAAATACAAAAATTAGCCAAATGTGGTGGCACATGCCTATAGTCCCAGCTACTCAGGGGGCTGAGGCAGGAGAATCACTTGAACCCACGAGGTGGAGGTTGCAGTGAGCTGAGATTGCGCCACTGCACTCCAGCCTGAGCGATGGAGCAAGACTCTGTCTCAAAAAAAAAAAAAAAAGATATCCTACAAGTTCTCATATTCATGCCTGTGTTCATAATATGTCTTAAATGTTTCCCCAGCCACTCATTAAATGTGCTGTATCTCTAACTTGAAGTTGTAATTTCTTGCTGAAAACATCTCCAAATCAAAATGTCTGTAATAGGCCAGGCACAGTGGCTCACACCTGTAATCCCAGCACTTTGGGAGGCCAAGGTGGTGGATCACGAGATCAGGAGTTCAAGATCAGCCTGGCCAAGATGGTGAAACCCTGTTTCTACTAAAAATAAAAAATTAGCCAGGCATGGAGGCACACACCTGTAGTGGAGCTACCCCAGAGGCTGAGGCAGGAGAATTGCTTGAACCCCAGAGACCGAGGTTGCAGTGAGCTGTGATTTCGGCACTGCACTCTAGCCTGGGCAACAGAATGATAAGACTCCGTCTCAAAAAAAAAAAAAAAAGTCTGTAATAAGTAACAATGTAACTAAAACAAACTAATCCCCTTTACCCAGATGGAAAATGAGTAAGAGAATGATCTTAGCTAAGGAATTAATAGAGACCTTACAAAGCAAAACTTAAATATGGCCTTTGGGTAACTGAAGTCCTTCAAACGCTGTGACTGACTCAATACAAGGTCTTTTTGTTATGCCTTACAAACCCACTGCACTCTGATGGTGAGGTGCTGACTTCATAGTAAGGCAGCTGGAAAACATCTCTTTAACATGGATTCATGGCAGTATTTTTCCACTTCAAATAATGTAGCACGTCCTTTAAAAGAAAAACAATATTCTTGGACATCTACTGTTGACCTAGATTATTTTTGTTTTTGATTTTGTTTGAGACGGAGTTTCACTCTTGTTACCCAGGCTGGAGTGCAATGGCGTGATCTCGGCTCACCGCAACCTCCACCTCCCGGGTTCAGGCAATTCTCCTGCCTCAACCTCCTGAGTAGCTGGGATTACAGGCACGTGCCACCATGCCCAGCTAATGTTTTGTATTTTTAGTAGAGACGGGGTTTCACCATGTTGACCAGGATGGTCTCAATCTCTTGACCTCGTGATCCACCCGCCTCGGCCTCCCAAAGTGCTGGGA